AATAATTACTTAAAGTCTATTCCTTCATCTAAGGATATACAGGCCTATATCGCCACTAGTACATTAATATAAATGGACTAAAGGCATATAATTTTTTGCAGATTCTTGTGAGCAACGCTGGATCAGTGAAATGCGCAACGGACGTATTTGGTGTGACTGTCCCCCAAGCTGTGTGTAAGCTAGATTTGTGCACTTTCACCGGGTATTTACACTGTATTTAAATCAAACTGATGGCCTTGTATGATTAAATGAATAATTTTATTCATAGTAATTTTATAATATTATTTCATTTAACATCACGGAAGCTTTATTCTGCATACAGTGACAACACGCTGTCAATGACCTTTGGATTCTCTGAATGGCCTGCAGACTCGTATGAGGTACGTCTGTTGTCTACACAATGCTGTCGGACTGAAGCATAAATTCCGTACGATTTTAGATTGTTTACAGGAAAATGAATATGTGCTGGAAACATCGTAATTCCGACTCCCTTTCGTTGCTACTTTCCACAGAAGTCGCTGAGGCAAAAGCTGTCGAAGCTAGACGAGGAATCTCAAGAAAAGCTGCAAACCTCCCACGATGCAAGGTACGTACATGAAGGACATACCGTCATATGCGTGCAGTAAAGTTTCGTCGATGCCTATGGCTGATTTCAATAGATAGAAGACGCGCTTGCACACTGTATGAACGTTGCTTTGGTGGATATGTACAGCTGTACCTTCGCACAGTTCAACCCGCCCCTTTCGTCCTGTTTTCATGCTCAGGCGGAACCTGTTGAAGTTGTCGGTTTACTTCGAACAGCTCAACCAACAAACCATCTCGGAGTCTCCTGCCTACAGGGTAACTTCACACGTCAATCATTCTACTCATCTCGTCATTTGTGTGGTACAGCTGTATTCAGTCGATGGTTTTCCATAACGTTGGTAGTAAATCCAGTCTCTATCTCCCTGTTGATGTTGTAAAGGTGGAGAACCTGCTGGGTGATCTGGGCGGTCAGCTGGGCCTGTGGGTGGGCGTGTCAGTCATGACCATCCTCGAGGTTCTCGAACTCATCGTCGACGTCACTCAGATCTTACTCAGCAAGGCGAGGGGCAAGAAGAAAACTAGAGTCATAGACATCAGTGGACATATGTAACAAACACGTAGATGTTAGCAGCAGCCGTGTATTTTGTTGGAAGGAATGATATAACATGCTAATTTGGTTTTGAGGATTTGCATTTAGTAAATAGATAATTATAGTCATCATCGCAAAATATATGCCAGGTTATTGTAGTTGTTTTCATCTGTGAGGCAATGATTGTAGTTAGTTAGTTAGTTAGTTTGTTTGTTGTTTGTTTGTTTGTTTGTTTGTTTGTTTGTTTGATAAGATGTAAATCCATAGCTGCATAAAAACCAACAACTGCTTGTACGAATTGGTCTGACATTTATGTACCACGGCAGTACGTTTGAAAAAAAAGGAGGAGGGAATTGTTCTGCATTTGCACGCATTTTTTTGCTGTAAATACTTGCACAGAGACAATCAGATTAACAGTGATGACCATATTTTATCCAATCTATCTATAAACACACAAACAAAAACATAGAGATACTTTCTGTGTTATTCTATGAAATCGCCTTAGATGTATGTAGGAATCGCTTGTTTGTGAAATATGTAAGAAAGTAAGAAAATGTAGTCATCGTAAAAGAACTCCTGACGATATGCAAACATGGCGATGTCCAAATTGTTATGAAATAATGTATTTAGGTCGGGCGGGATCATCAAAGAGAGAAAGACTTCTTAGAGAAACAGCTGACGTGCTCTCACACACACACACACACACACACACACACACACACACACACACACACACACACACACACACACACACACACACACACACACACACACACACACACACACACACACACACACACACACACACACACACACACACACACACACACGCACAAAAGCATGCTGGCATCCTTAACTTAAATAGTTGACTATTGTACTTTTTCACTACGTAGTGCTCACATATTTTGCAGAAAAAATAAAGGCATGCATTTCTCATTAGTTGCCTGGTCTCCCAAGTATTTTCATCTCCGGTTGTCATGAAATAATGTATTTAGGTCGGACGAATCATCAAACAAAGAAATACTTTTTAACCGCTTGAAGAAACCGATTTGATTTTCTGTCTCAGAAACAAAATGACATATCATATAAACTATTCATTACATACAAACACAGATTCCAGTCAGGGATTGGAAATACACAAAAATATGACATCAAAATGTAAAATTATTTGTCCTTTACGATGTTTATCTTCTGTTATGCGTTGAAACAATAATTACATCACTTGCAGAGCTTCACAGATCTGTTCATAAGCAATGTAATTCGAAGATATAAAGGTATATTAACACATAATTCACACTCTCTCAAAGTAATGCCTAGTCATATGGTTAGGTCTTTGACCTGTGAATGTAATCAACTGATTGAAAAAAAACTAATGACAAACACTAGTAGATGATACGAAACCCGTACGTGTTGTTCAGACGTGCCGCCATGGAGAGAAGGACCAGGCCGCGCGTCGCCATCCTGGTTCTGCTGGTTCTGAAGTTTGCCTTGCCCTGCCCGGAGGAGTGCTTCGTGCAGCACGCGTGGACATTTAACACGAAACTAGCTGCACATGCCCGAGACAGCTAGACACCGGTTTAAGGTCGTGCATTTCACATGATATAAGGGTAAGACCACAACACTCACTATTACTCTGTTGACGTTGAGAGCATTCTGTAATTATTTACCTTCTCTATAGCCTGGTTACCATTCTCCATAGGCCGGCTTTAAATTTGTAGCTGTATTTTATCGGCCCTCCTAAGGAATAGGTCTCTTCCGAAATATGCTAGATATTTTCAGCTGACCTTTCTAATATTACCTATTCGAACAAATTGAAACCGACTCGCAAAAAAGTGCACTAATGGACCGAGGCAGTCAGGCAGTACTTTGAGCACAGTAGAGATACCGGTGAGTTTACGATGGTCTGGCTACAAGGAAGGCTACATTGTAGTACATTCTCTATGGCAAGGTGGTGGCATTTACGTGATTCTGAATAATTATTGAGATTCAAATATACTACTAAAAAGCAAAAATACATTGTGATTTTATTGAAGCTTTCTTCACTTTTCGTGAGCATATACATGTTTAAGGTTTTGATGTTTTCCCTCAGATTGTTGCCGCTAACACAGTTTGCAGTGCAGAGAACCAGGGCCTGACGTGTCTGAATGGCGTTCCTACCGGGTTTGACCAGTCCGTGACTGGAATCTCACTGAACCGTCTGTTCAACCTCACCACCCTCACCAGACATCACATTCCACCCCTACCCAACCTGGCAACGCTCGTCATAGCCAACAGCACTATCCAGGCAATAGGTAAGTGTGTGGAATATGCCTGCTATAGCTACTAAAATAATGGTGTTTCCTGATGATCAATTGACAGTATATAAAAACGTGGCCATGCAAGAGAGGAATACCTAACGTTATTGACATTGACATCAATTATGCAAAATGAACGACCTCAATCTCGTAATTAATGAAAACACGTAAGAATATCGTAGTGGTAAATGACAGAAAGTTCATTCTTATGGATTCATGCCCTAATGTAAACTGACATCAGGGCAGGAATTGAATGATTGATAAAAAAAAACACTACAATCGCTTTATTTGCTAAGGCAGGACTTCAATGTTTTAGTAGAGATGATCGTCAACTGATACAATCTACACAAATAATTATTTGTTAAATGAATGAAAAAGATTTATAATACAACAGTCGTAAAATGTTTATCATTATTTGCTAAGACATAAGGTTGTGGAACAGGTTTAAAATGATGTGATCTTTTAAACACGCAGTTCAGGGGTATGATATATGTATTCAATCTTTATTTATTACATAGTAATATCCCGGCCCATTACATGCTATATGCAATGCTGAAAGATATCACTGCAAAGAATCAACGGTGTACATTTTGATTAAGTACAAACAAAAAAGAATTCTTTAGGAAGTGATTATAGTACAAACATTGAAAATTTCTCTGCGTCCCTTCTACTCCAGGAAAGGGTGCGTTTTCCTCCGTACCGGCGATCACGGTGATAGCCATCCGCTGTAGTCGCCTCCGGCATATCGGCGACTTCAGCTTCCACAGCTTGCCCGCTCTGAGTGCGATCTATCTAGATCACAACATCATCGGCACCTTGTCACCAAAGGCATTCACCGGCCTCATCAGCTTGAAACGGATAGACTTGAATAGCAATCAACTGAAGGCGGTTCCTTATGAAGTTGTATTCATGATCAGTCGCAGCCAAACAGTGGCAAATATACTGGTCAACCTCATCGACAACCAGATCAGCACGGTATTGGAAGAGCGTTGGAACAAGATTCCTGCCTCCGACGTTAGCTTCCTTCTCCTTCCCTCCCTTTGTCTGTGACGATAGAATGCGATGGCTGGTCCGTAACGCCTGGGATCCCCCCACAGTTTACAGACAGGTTCGTCATCTTCGCTGCGCGTCGCCGGCGGAACTGTCCGGCCGCGACTTCCCTTCGCTCCACACCAACCCATACTGCTCCTCTGAGGAACTGACAACCTCTCCGAATTCCCCAATCCCAATGACTTCCGCAGAGTTTTCAAGGGAAGAAACCATCTCGCTCCCAGGAAAATCACTTGGGATGACACTTTCTGCCATGACGCCGCAATCTAGGAGAACCCCATCTGGTACCGTGGGCAGTACCATCAACCTCGTGGAGAAGGAGGCCTCTCTTTACACACCTCTCGGACTTACAGTTGCTTTCGTAGTTCTAGTAACTGGGGCAATAGTAGCGGTTGTGATATACAAGCGACATGTCGGAAGAGAAAGACAAAACCGGTCCAATGGACAGCACAACGCTATCATCAGTTCTCAACTCATCAGT